GGCGCCCCCCCCCCCCCAGGGCCAGGGCCCGCTGCCGCTCGGCCTCCCGCTCCGCCTGCTCCCGTAGGCGCTGCACCTCCTCCGCCTCACCGCGGATGCGGCCCAACTCCTGCTCCAGATCGGCCTTGCCCGCTGATGCCTTCTCGAAGCTCAGCTTCAGCGTGCGGATCTCCTCCTCGATGAGGCGCCGCTGCTTCAGTGTGTCGTCCACGATGCCCTTCTGCCGCTCCAGTTCACTCTCTGAGGAGCGCTTCAGCAGGGCGATCTTCTCCTCGATGTCCTGCTTGTGCTGGGCGGCCTGCTCCTCCAGCAGCTTGCGCTGGTAGGCCTCGTCCTCTGCCAGCCGCCGCAGCCGCTCGTTCTCCGCCTCCTTCTCCTTCAGGGCAATCTCAGCCTCCGCCTTCAGGCGCGATGCCTCGTTGATGGCCGCCAGCTTCTCCTTGAGGATGCGCTCAGCCTCTGCCCGCTGCCGGCTGGCCTCCTCCTCCGCCAGCTGCCGCTGCCTCTTGGCCTCCTCCGAGAGGGCCCGCAGCCGGGCAGCCTCCTCGGCCAGCTCCCGCAGCTTGCTGGCCTCGGCCTCCAGGCGCTGCTTGGACTTCTCGCTGGTGGAGCGCGACTCCTCCTCCGTCTTGGCCTTGCTCTCCAGCAGGACCTCCATCTCGGCCCGCAGCTTGGCCAGTTCCTCCTCCACCTCCTTCCTCTTCTGGATGGCCTCGCTCACCTCGTTCTTCAGACGGAAGAGCTCCTCCTCGAGGAGCAGGCGTTGCTGCTCCCCATTCTCCATCTCCGCCTTCAGGCGGATAAGCTCCTGCTCTGCCGCAAACTTTTGCTGGGCCGTGCCCTCTGCCACGTGCCGCTGCTTCTCTAGCTCCTCCTCCGCCAGCTCCTTCTGCCGCAGGGCGGACTCCTCAGCCTTGGCGCGCTTGCGGGCCTCCCGCTCCGCATCCTCCTTCTGCTTCTCGGCCTCCTCCTGGGCCAGTGTTTTCTTGTGGGCCACCTCCTCGGCCTGCAGCCGCAGCCGCAGCGCCCCATTGGCCTTCTGCCGGCAACGCTCCCACT